TAATCAACCAATCACGCTTTTGTCCCATGGCGAAGACTAGAAACTAAACTAGTTAATATGATAAGAAGTACCACGTGGTCCTCGGTTCGCCATTTTAAGGGCACCATAAACTTCTTGTTTTTGCAAAATAATAAGCAGTCAGAAAAGACTCAACATCATGTGTAAAATAACAAAACCCATTCTAGTAATGTCCATTATTATTTTAATGCGTAACTTTCGTTCGTAATCAAAGGTCGTTGTAAAGGCCGTCGAGCGAATATGAACAGGATACCTAAGTAACAAAATTAAATGTAGCCGAGTTAATGTTACGTCAACCTTTAACGAATAGCTTACCGAATACAGCGAGTATTGGATACATAATACATTTGCTTTCGATTTAGGACAAGGCCAGTACTTTTGATATCTTAAATAGTACTTAGTGCGTAAATGCATCGGCCGTCGACCAATGAGTGAATGGTTCAGAGGGCTTACTACGAATTAGTTAACGAGACCATGTTCAGCGTTCTGATTGGGTCGTTCATTGGAGCCCACCAATCAAATCGACGAAAGCATATTCATTTCGATTATTTTAAACATAAAACAAACTTGTACTATGCCTTCGTTCACTTCACTCGCTCACAAACTGATTACGTTCAATAAGCCGGAAACAGTACTGAACAGGTTTTGGAAGTTTTGAAAGGTGTAATTAAGATTACGTATCAAAAATTGTATTATGAAATTGTATTTGAATATGTAGACCTAGACGGCATGTTGGTCACAAGCGTAATTACCGAACAATTGAACAATTGGGTTAGATTTCCAGATTGGTAAGCCATATTGGATCTTCGTTTTCGTAATTTTCCTTAATAGCCCGAAAGATAGAATTTGCTGACTGACTAGGGCGAACATTCTATACATTATATTACATAACATTCATTATTTCTTCTATTAGAAAAATATTACATAAGAGTACTAATGATAAATAGATGTTAAACGTTTTAATGTATATACGTACCTCTGCCCATTCTCATGACACAAGAGACGTGATGATATGTCATATGCGTGCTAATTTGAATATTTAGTAGTGCGATAAGCCGAAGATATGCTTATCATTGACGTCTCGATCGCCTGATTGGAGAAATGTGCGTGCATTCACTTGGTTGAAATTCACAATTCACAAGAAATAATCATAATGTTCCAGTATTAATAAAGTACTGTCAATTTAATCGTAACTGGTGCATAGCTTGGGAGCACGGAATTGCTTAGAAATGCATAGCCTGCTTATAAAGTAGTTGTTTATAAATAAATACCTACCATATTGAATTAACATAGCGCTTTTTATTCCCCAAAACAAAAGAAGGTGGACATTCATATTAAATGCAACACCCAATTTCATGTCCAATATGTTGTACCTACATCTGGTAGTATCCAAAATCAAAGCTACTAAGGTTTATCGAAAACAAATAGGTACTTTGTCGCACCGGAAAATTTCATAACACAAAATATTTGTCGATATAGACATAATAAATATATCCAGTGTGTGTCAGCCGAATGTGTCTATGGTTGGTGCTGATAACGATTTGGAATTCCCATTCAATATGACAACGTGCACGATTTGATAACAAAACAGATGATATTATTTATTGTATTGACATTTTAGAAATGATACAACATTAACATGGCTCCTATTTAATGGCTTAGAGTAGAATGGTTAAGGAGTCTATTGCACTCACCTTATAGGTTGTATGTTTTTCTTTATTAAGCATTACATATAGTCTAGTGGTGGAATATAAAGAAGTCATGTAGATATGGTAGTAAGTGGCGTGGCGATCTGTAGTTTATAACTATCATCATTGATAGTGTAAGCTTCCACACTGCATTTTTATACAAATTGAGGAATTTAAATTATAAAAACTACGATCATAATATGTTAGTGACTAACCACAGATAGTGTATAGTAACTTCATTCTACACAACGAATCGTGAACGAAATTTTTCTAAACTAAATACGGTATATATTTATAGGATAATCACAGAATCATGTAACTTATGGCTACCCAACTAGAATGTCTCTGCTGTGCCGATGAGGAAGCATTAAGGTCACTTGTTTACCAAGGAATGTAGTCAAGAACGGAGAAATGTTCTGTCTAAACAGTTAGGCCTACTTTTTAACAAACCATTCGGTACAGACCGTGACGCCATAGAAACAAAGCAAGCCTAATGACGCGTAAGTTCCAGAAACGAGATTTGTTGTGATGCTTTCTGGCATGGGTTCTAACGTTTAACGAAATGGCTAATTTGAAGAAAATATAGGACATTTAAGTGTATAATACTTTTAAGGTTTTATATAAATCCAGGCATTTCTTTTATATTCGATGAGCCGATGTTTGGCCACTATCTCGCCCACAGATATAATTTCTGTGATCTCGCCTGATGGTAAGCGATGAATGGTGCGGTCTACGAAGGAGCACGTCGACCCACAAGCAACCGAATCTACTAATCGACGATCTACGTTTAATTTCAGGTAAAGCAAAATAATAACGTGAACAATTACGAAAATACTTACCTCAATTATGAAAATAATGCGTTTACTAAAACATGTATCACTGTAACAACAAACCGTTCGTACTTATCATCACGACATAGACTTAAGCCTCATAAAAGTACATAAATAGAAGAAGCCTACATAGAACGTATTTACACAAAGGAAGACCTAAAGACACCCCTTCACTATTCCTGGAATCCTTATGAATTCCGTAAAAGCATTTTGTTGTACGTGAGGTACTAAGCTTATATGCACAGTCTATCTACATTTCACTATCTAAAGTTCATTAACCCCTTCAAAAGCTAATTAAAACGAGACCATAGGATAATCGGTTATGTAAAGACCAGGAAATGATCTACTTCTTATAGAAAACATTCACTCACTGTTGTTTTCTTTAATCGATTCATACGTAACCGAAATATGGTTTAATGCAAACTTTTTGTGTCATATTTAAATTAGTTTTTATGACTAATGATGTAAGTAGTGAATTTGTTTAGATGAGAGTTAGATTGAATAGTGATTCTGTAATTTTTGCAGTCTTAGAATGGCTATTGTTTGAAAACCTTTAATGCATACCTACTATTGAATTGAGAAGAATGTTTGCACTGTACTGTACTGAATTACCGTATCTAATAGTAGAATAGTTCAATTAATCTCAATTGCTAATAAAATGCGTTTAATTGCATAATCAACTGTGCTGGATACAAGCACATTAAAGAAAGTTCTATAAATACAAAACCAAATTGCATCCAAACAGATAAATTGTAGTTTTAAGTGGTCATGTCTATTTATATGTACGAAGTAAGATTCCTTACAAAATACTAAGCACAATGTATGTCAATTTGAAGTACAAGCACGCTATGTCCAGTTTTGTCATGTTTTTGGTTTTTGCACGCAGCGAAAGGCATACGATGCATTGAACGTGACATTAAAATCAATGAGTTTGCACATTTCAATAAAATTGCTCACTACTTACGTCACAGTAGGTAGTTTAAATGTTTGCCTTGTCAATCTTCTGTAGTTTTAGATAAGCCCATAAATACTAGTGTATTTGAAACATAGTAAACAGATAATTGATAAGTTTACGCAAGTTTTTCAAACATTTCCATTCAAATCTGTTGAAATAAAGTTTATTTTTGTTTATTTTGTCGCAATTATTTGGTCATTTGTGAAGAATTAAGTTCTAATATTTGAATTGCTTAACACAGTTGTTAGTACTAGCCTTCTATTGGGAACCCTAGTTCTATTTATTACGAAGGACACGACACACTACGGAGACGTCTGAGAACGTATTCAATAGTAGCTTGAGTTGATGGGAAAACAGTCACGCAATACTTTAAGTGGGTTAAAGAATTACGAATGTAACAATGTCACTTTGTTAATGTTACTTATTTGCTTCGGTCATGGACAATTTCAAGTTTCAACTATGGGAAATCGAAGAAGGGAACAAAGACTCCTTGGTAGACCGTTCGAGAAAACAGCTCCCTTCCGCTTAAAAACAAATAAAGGTAACTCGATGGCATTGAATGCGATCCTTGTTTAAAAATGGAATATCGAACCAGTTGTTTTAAAATAACTGTTACCACCGATTTTGTACGTAGTGTTTTGTTTCTTGCACGTGTAAAATGTTAAAGGTTCTGTATAATATTGTAAACACTTCGTACTTGGCGTTGCATGAACTTAATGATTTTTACACATTGTTACGATTGCACAACAAAGTTGAAGACAGAACACGTTTCACATTCAAAATATTTTTGTTTCCTCCGTAAAAATGAAGATACAGTTCACATTTAACGAGCTGATTGTCAGAATGTCTCATTCATGTCACTCGGTATGAGTGAAAATAACTTTTTAAATTGCTTAGAAAGTACCAAGTACGATTCATCATCCTATTAACGAGGTTGATAATTATCTACCTCTTTACGTAACAAGGCGTATTTTAATTAACTTTTAGCTGTTAGTAGCTGTTTAGAACAATCGTGACAATTCATTTCAAGCACCATTGTCTTAGTGTGGAGTCTACAACATGTTAAATTGTCATGACAAATGAAACTTCAAACACATAAAGAGGGTCGTTTTGTGCGAGTCTCAAGTAAAAAATCTGTGTACAGACATTTTCTCATGACCTTACGTACTATCGTAGTCAGTAAGTGAGTACTTAAGTAAGTTTAAACAACTTCTGGTTGTAATTTTTTACTCGAAACGTAGTTACAACTAGGAATGTCTGTTCCTGTTCAAAGAATGAGTTGTTACGAGTAACAGGTAAAAGAAAAAAGTTTGTGCTTCACTTACTGCGATATAAAACGGAACTGCGTTCGATGTACTACATTGCCACCGCAATGTTAATGTATTTTAGGACTTTAATGGTCCTAATAGAAAAGTTTATGAGAATTACACGTTTATCAACATCAGCTTTTACCTAAGGACTAAGTACTACAATATGCACATAAAACATGACTTAATAAATTAAACTCACCCTGCAGGCTAGGTGCTGACGCCGGCGCTGATGGTGGAGGTTGCAAAGGCGTAGGAGGTGGTCGTCGTCTCCTTGGCGCATGTAATCCTGGTGCTGAGGCCGCTCGAGTAGCCGTACGGAATCCAGGAGCCCGGTACCGGGCTGATTTCACCGGACCAGCCGGTACTGGGTTTGTAGCCGTGATTGACGGTAACCGAGGCAGAGATCCGGCCCGTTGTTCTTCCTCCGACTGCAAAAGAGACAGTGTTATATTTTGTGTTGTGGATTATATTCATGATGTGCAGTGTCGCAATGGTGTAATGTGTTTGTCGTAATTTAAATTGGAATCATACAGTTGATGGCCTCTTGAGAATTTCAGGGCATGAACATATACTACTAGGATGTAGACTAACGAGTAAATACATAGTAGAAAACAAATTGAATACTTTTTTCACGATTAAGGACCGATTTTTACAACGCCAGATAAATTTTATCAGAGAAATAAGTTTCAATATTTTACAATTCTTCCATGCTAAAAACAGTGAAATGTCTATTTTATTGTAAAGTTAAGAATTATCTGTTGATTGAAAAATCGGCTCTACATAGCGTTTATCAAATGAAGTAGGATATATGCTCTTGGACAGAAGATAATCTGTTAAACGAATTATGGAGTAATTCTGTTGTACACAAATTAAAGGCATAAACACGACAGTTTAAATTAGAAGGATACAAGAGTATAGAATATAGAAATATACATAGATCAATTTTCGTGCTGTATACTATGCTATGCAACACATATTTTGAAAGAATTTAGGTTATCAATAATGGACTTGGAGGGCGCCTAGTTGAGTCATTAGAAATGCTAATTTAATATCTATGTTGTTATCATTAATGATGACTAATGCAATCAATTACCTTATCACTCAAACGCAAGTTCTAGTAACAACAAAAAGTACAGGTGCATTTTAATCTATACATTTGTTAAAAGTCAAAGTCAAAATCATTTAATTAGACCAGGAAGGCACTTTTGAACGTCAGCAATAGAAATTTAAAAGTGAAGCTATTTGCTCATTTCAATGTGTAGATCTATTCCTATGGAGAAGAACGAGCAAGAAACTCCATAGGTTAGTCTTTCCAATCAGGTTCACAATACAATGCTCCAGTTAATGTTATGCCTAACTACTGACACTGGCAGGTATTTCAAATGGATTTGTACAAAGACACGTGGCTTTTGTTTTGTTTTAAACACGAGGTTCGTATTGGATTCCATGAAAAATAAAATAAATTATAGGTTTTTTTTTTCTGTTTGGAAACAAATATCGTTCTGTACCATTGTTCATTGGTTAGAAATACATAACATAGTGCCTTTGTGTCTTTTATTCCCCGAAAGTCTCAGTCTTCAGTACTATTTGCTAGTTATACTATGTGAGTGCCAGTACTATTTACTATGTGAGTGCCATTAAATAGACTATATACGGTCAAGTACACATATATTTGTCAATAGCTCCAGGGAACAAGATAACTATATTATATTAAGTGACAGAATTAATACATGATTTCGTAGTATGCTTAATATCACTTTGTAAGAAGAAAAACAGCTTAACAGTCAGTTTTTCTTGACAAGATTAAAACGATGTTTACATTAAACCGGTTCAGAACTAAGCAGTCTTGATAGCGTTTAAAGGCTTTACATTATCAGTTTTGTTTGCTTTGATTAAACATGTTGCGACATCTAGCGTCGCTTTGAAAAGCTACACATGTTTTGTAAACAAAACGTGTATAACTTTAGGACATTTGAGGGTCATTTTGTTAAATATTTGTTTATTTACAAGAATACGTATCAGATATGATTCACTAAAGTTTCTAAGCTCTCGTAAGCAATTTTTTATCTATAGTGCGTGCGCTCTTGATCGCAGCAGTATGTATCTACGACATTGACATTTTTGAAATACTTACCCGCGTTCCATATATTATTATAATGATATGAATTAGCCTTGAACATTTGTAGTTATTTCGTTAAAACTCGCTTTAACTTACGTGACAGATAATGTAAATACATTCTAATATCCATTTAGTGTTATGTGCATGTTTAGGTAGTTTTGTAATTGTGTGTTGTTATTTTATATACAGTAATATAGTTCCCTTACCTCAGCATCTGGTGCGGAGGCGCGACGTCTTCCTCGCCACAATCTATCCTCGCTGCCTCCGATCGCTCCACAACTCCGCGAATGTGATTTCTGTGCTGCAAGATCGGCTCCTGCAGGCGACCTCCTCGACTCACCACCACCGCCTAACGTGCCCCGAGAATCAGCTGCTAGCAGTGCTGATTCAAAACTACCACGCCACGAAAACCTCTCACAATCACTCGCGACACTGCCCCTACTCGCCGTCGCCTCCAGTATGTCATGAGATCGACTCCGTGCTAATGCTCCCGGCTCAGACGCACTATCATCATCGGTGCTAGGTGATGCACCGCCCGACACTTCATGCATTAATGCCACTAGCCTGCCACCTATATGCCGCATTACTTTGCCAAATAACGGTGGTGAACCTTCTCCAGCGCGACCCAGCGTCGCTGCTAACCTCCTGTACGCTCCAACAGCATCCCGCTCTAGTGATCCTGCGTCGTTATTTCCTCGGTCGAATTCATCAATGATCTCGCGACAACTGTCAGATATTTGTTTTCGCAACGCCGACCGAGTACCAGCTGTGTTGCCCTCTAAATCAGAGCCAGCATAATCTGAAGAGTCGTATGAATCACTCCATGTATCCTCACTAGACAAATACTCTACAATTTCACGCACTTCTTCGTCTCTAATACCCGGAACTGTTTTCATTAATCTTGTTAGTTCACTTTCAAAATACAATAGTTGAGGTGGTTTCGGAGGGCGAGAACTTTCGGAATTCGATGACGCCGGTGTAGATGTTCGGACATTGGTTGTGTGTATCATTTGTTTGAAAAATTGTCGCATTTTTGTCATCATTAGATTTGTTTCCTCATCAGACGACCAATTGTTAAAGCTATCTTTACGTACTAGCGGGCTTTGAGGCGGGCGGGATGACGGTGGTACTTCCACACGTTCTTCAATATCAGGTCGGATTTCTTCAATTATTTCTTCTAATTCTATTTTAGGTTCATGAGATCGTGTAAAATCGGAGCTAGAATCCCCATTCCTTAACAAATCGTCGCAGCTGCCGACAAAACCACTATCCCTACTAGTTTGTTTTTTAGATTCAGATAGTTCAGATCCAAGCGGTGGGAATTCAGGTCGTGGTGATAATCTGCCATCTTCACCTTCTGAGACAGATCTTGTATCGTCACGTGTTTCTTCTGCAAACTCAGCTGATTGCCTTCGTTCGTCGGCGGGTGATCCACGTGGCTTTTTGTTTTGTTTTTTTCTTTTAGATTCGCCTTGCATGTCGAGCCGTTCCGAGGAATCATGTCGATCCTCAGTTTCTGTACTAGAAGCATCAGAGACTTCTTGATTATCTTGAGAAGGTTCGTCACCCGTTAATAAGTTGTCTAGTGAATTAGAATGTGATCGTGGGGTCCCACGGGCACGAACCAGCCGCTTTCTACGTTGTTCAGGACTTTGTCTGCCCTCACTATCACTTCCCACACTTCCGGAACCATCTGAATCACGCCTTTCTTGGTTGAATCCCATAAAACCAGAGAGAAAATATTTTTCCAACCGTGACGACACTAAATCATCACTATCACCACTTCGTTTCGGTTGCTCGGTATCAACAATAGATTCACCACCTTCACTACACACACTTGACGTTTCTGACACTGCTTCCTCATCATCACGAATATTTCTGCCGTCGCCCAAACCGAAGAAAAAGTACTTTTCTAACTCCGTTGCCGATATAGGTCGTGGTTTTTTTGTTGTATGTTCCGTTTCGCTTTCTTCGCAACTTTCTTCTACGATGGTGTGTAAAGTGAAGTCTATGGAACGTCTACAGTATGCGAAATCCTCCCCCCGCATAGGGAGGGAGGTTTCATCCCCGGAATCAGAGTCGGAGGGTGAAGTGGCCTCGTCCTCATTGTGGCTGACGTCCTCGACCCACGAATCATCGTCAGCGAGCCCCTCCTCGAGGCACACGACCGCTGAGAGAGTGTCGGCATTGCTAACAACAGTCACTCCGCCCGAAGGCTGTGGTGTTTCGTCGTCGGATATTCGTTCGTCAGTTTCGTCTTGTTGTTGCACGTCCGGGCTTGGTTCCGATTCACTTTGTGAATTGGTATGGTGCACTATTACTTCCCGCATGAGCCGCGTCGTGTCTGACGTGACAACGGAGACGCGGTCGTGCGTTATCATAACGCGGCTAGTGAAGCGCGCGGAACCGTCCGCACTGGCCGTACGCGAGCGGCAAACTGTTGTCGCGGCAGGTGCGCACGCGCTCCCCTCCGTCTCAGAGCAAACCGGCCTGACGCCATGCATTTTCTCCTCCTCTTGGTCCTCCATTAATTCTTTCTTCAATAGTTCACTGAGAGTGCGTTCAATACCTTTAAACAGGTCTATTTTTTCTGCGGACGATGAACTTACGTTATCGTTGCTGGGCTCGGGTGAAGGCGCTAATTTAGTTAATGAGTCGGGTTGAATTTCTGCAGAAATTAATTCATTATTATTATGTCTGTCGTTAGTTAATTCAACCGAGAACTTAACTTTCACGTCCGCCAATGAATCGTAGTCGGTGTTTTCAGATGATATACTGTGATATCGATTAGCGTCACTATCTGTGTTATTTTTCTTATCTAGATCATTACTGCTCGAGCTACAACTTGCATTAAAACTGTTAAATCTTTCGCATGTTTCACTTTGTAACATATTTTCGTCACAAAATTTGAAGAAATTCGATCTCCTAATGCCTTCATTGTTGCTGTCGTCATCACTGTTGTTTTCATATGGTATAACCGAATACTCTTCTGTAAAATTAACTGAATCCAATAGCACAATATTTGAATTTTCAGACGTCGGTGAAAAACTTTCATTTGAGTTGTTGGCACTCACATTCACTTCATTTTGTTCAGCTATTTCAACTGCGATTATTTCTAAACTATCAGATTTCTTGTCATAAGAGTCATCACAATCTATGCCGCTGCTGTCAGCGTTGTCTTCTAGATCTGAAGATGAGTCAGCTGGGTTAACAACAAACACACGTGAAAATCGTCCGCCACCACCTCCTGAGTCATCAGAATCTTCATCTGATGTCGCGGGTTCCTCAGGCGCACCGCTGGTTAGGTCGTAACTCCTTCGTGCCACTCCCTGCTCAGAGTCGCTTGAATCAGCAGACTCATTTGAAGAGGGGAAAGCTTTCTCCGCTTCTAAATGATCCGGCATTGCACTTGCTGGATCCGATAACAACGATAAGGAGTCCTCCTCGGCGATCACCTTGATTCCGACTGACGGATCATTTTCAACTGGCCGTTCAATACCCTTATCTTCGTTATCGTTATCACGGGGCTCAGGCGCTTGTGACGCTTCGGATTGTATTGCTTTATCAGTCCTTTCAACGGTGGTCATCTCGACTTTAACTTGTTGAGGTGCAGCAGCGGAGGCGGTGGCAGTGGCGGCGGCGGTGACGGCGACGGCTGCGGCCGTAGTGAGCCGTGCAAGGGTTGCGGCATCTAGAGGCGCTAGGCCCGGGTATGTGTTCCAGTGTGGCGTGGGTGGAGTCTGCGTGGGGAAAGCGAGTAATGCAGGCCAGAGGGCTGCGGGTACCGGTACAGGGACTGGCACTGGAACCGCGACTATTCGTGGCTCAGCGCCGCAGGAGCAAGGTCGCGGACAAGCCTGTGGCGCGTGCTTGGTAGGCGGTGGGATGGGGTGCGCCGCCGACGCGCCCGGCTCGAAGTAGTCCCAGTCACAATCGTCGGGCGCGGGCGGCGCGGCTGAGGAGGCCGTGGACGACGAGTCTTCCGTGTCTTCGCGACACGACGAGTCTGAGCTCAAGAACACGAGGCGGTAGTCCTCGGGACGCATGCGACCGGCCTCGGGTTCGCTTGCCTCGCCCGGTTCACTGCTGACGCCCCACTCTGAAAATACAAACAACAAATTAGTATGCATATTTATGGTACCGACTCAAAAAATTCAACAGCATTTAGGGTAAATGTAATAATATAAACTCTCATTTCGCTTGTCCAGAAAAGATTGCTAGTTGTAATAAAACACGTTATACAGGTAAGATTAAACCAGTTCTAAAACTTGTATAGAATACATACACTAACCTGTTATTCAAGTGTGTATGTGTTTTATTACCTATGCATGTTTTATTCGTAATACAAGTTATATTGTGAAGTAAAACAATAACAAACGCCTACATTTTCTTTATAGCAACGCACCGTCTGTCGGTTGTTTGTAGCACGCAATCCATTAGGCGTCACTATCTGTATTTACGCTTGTGAAGCATAGTTACTCACGTTATAAACTTTAAATACATATGTTAAGTAGGTATATAAAAATAAAAAAAAGCCTTTGATTTTGTTGCATCACTTAAGGTTTTTTTTTATAATCAGTGCTGGTACAACACATACAATACATACATACCTACCAATGTTCTAGGAAATGCTCAATGAAAATGTAATTAAGAGATAAGATTAAATTAGATTAGCAATTCAAAACAAGGAGATATTAGTAGTTAGCATTAAAATACACAAACCCACAATACAACAAACAAATCGATATTTATTCAACTCGTGAAGCCGATATCAGTCTTGCTACGGCAAAGAACTAAGAAGTATGCAAACACCAAGACCAAGTTCTAACAATAGAAATAGACCAGCTAGTCCAAGAGTCCGGAATGTCATGTTTGAGATTGCAATCATGCTAATATTGAATCTGTAGAAAGCACAACGGATGGGTGGCCCGAGCCGCGCCGGCACAGCGCGTGTCGTGAGTCGAAAGCGACGTGTTACACGAACCAATATCAACAAAGTAGTAGATTCTATTCAACCGTTTATGAGTGCTTAAGAAAAACTAAACATTTTTGTAGTTTGACATGATTTTCAAGCACTAAAAAGTATGAAATATGACTTCAACTTGATTTTGCCATGATCATAATAATTTTATTCCGGATTATTTATGATATGCTTATTTATGACTGTGGCTGACAGGAGAGAATGAGATTTGGGTAAAAAAACAGCCTAGGAAAAATTCTATATAATAATTATCACAACATTAATTGTGTGTTTTTGTGGTATCCGATGGTTAATAGTAGTTTTCATATCTGATATGGATACCTTCCAAAAAACCGTTAAATGGGCATGATACAACATACGAAATTAAATAAGTGCTTAATTAATGCATGTAAGGTTTCCTACTCCATTTCATTCGTCGATAATCTGGTGATTAACTAAATTAAAGCAGCAGTGGTAGCAGACAAAGCAACTAACTTCTACGTAGAAATTATTTATAATAGCTATAGCAATTAAGTTTTCGCTTCGTTTTTATCTCTTCTGCATAAGCATTAATATTGAAGCCATACATTAACTTTTTCAGATGCGATCTGATATTTATTGTTCATCTTAATATATTAACTTTGATGACAAATGATATGAATAGTAATTATAACTTTGTTCTGCAATGTTCATAAAATAAATTATGTTTAATCGTCATAAAGAAATTGCGCAAGGATTGTAATTCTCAGACATTTCTTTTTGCGTTCTCTTTACTTTGAGGTCTATACAATAGTGATCAGCAAATGCTGTAGCTATTTTATATAATTATAATAGAATTATTATAGGAGGGGACAATCAATCTAAAAATAAAAAAAAAAGTAAATAAAAGAACCACACTTTTATATATATATAGTATTCCTGTGAAATCACCGATGTTAAAATGGGAATAAAATACAATCTATGGACACTGAATTTTATTTCCCCGATACGTAGTTTTCCCAATCGATTCCCATTCAAGTGGCTATTAGATATTCATACAAGTTCTATGTAATCGACTCACGTGTCAATACGAGTATCTGTAGAGCTAATCTTCATATATGTACCTACTTATAATTGTATAGCAATACATAAACACGATACTGCCTTTTAGAGAACATCGTGCACACAATGTGAATATAATTACTGTTAATATGTTCATGTATTAGAGATGATAAACATGCTATGGTTTTTGTGACGCTTTGATGAAACTTCTTGTTGGTTTTATTTCAGTTTATTATAAAAATGAGGTGTTGGTAAGTAATGACTTTATTTCGAGTCTTGTTTATATGCTATACTTTGATATTTTAACTATACTAATTTGAGAAAACATTAATTTGATGGAAGCAAAATAAGTACAGTATATAAGATGGTGCTAGGTGGTTTCCAGGAACCAAAGGTACGATTTAATTTACATGTGTATTTCTATGTCTGAACATACATATACATTTCGAAGCAACGAAAATGTACTAGTTACCTTGCCTAGTAGGTTATCAAAAACAAAACCACAAGGGCCACAAATAGTATGCTTTTCTAACTGACCTCAAGGCGCAATGAGACCGTGAAGATACATATCTCCGGTCTGTTACGTAAGTAAATAATATAATTGCACGCAATAACAACATTACCTTCTTTTTTACGGCAGTCGGCGAAAAATGTCAACCAAGGATTTTTGTGTTGATTTGGTGCAGTTGAGAGGAATTTGTTTATAAGTCCATACGAAGAGATATTGTCGGTGTAAAGATTGGATTTTACTCTTTGCCGAGAGATGTAGTACTAAACTGATTAAAGTAGGATAAATTAAAGGTCATTCTTTGTCATTAGTTCAATCAAGTCGTTAGTTTTTACTTATAACATAACATAACATCACGTCTTTTTATCCCCTAAGGGGTTTTTTTTAAGGGGGGAAAATCATCGAATGGCCCTGGTGGCCCCTGGGTGAGGCGGGAGGGAGTGTCAGACTCTTACTGACTAAAAACCACCCCGTTCCTTCTCCTGCACGTCGAGCCGGAGCCCCGGTTACCCGTTAGGTTCTCCGCCCCCTAAGGGGTAGGCAAAGGTGCACATTTCGGCACTTAATGCCACTGTACAATG